TTCGTGATTAAGCTGACATCACAGAAACCTGGGCGGCCGTCGCGGCCAATGGGAGCCCGAGCTATTTATAGCTCCGAATTAAAGGTTCGGAGTTCGCCTAGCAACAGCGGGCAGAGATTCCCGTGAGAAGAGCCACCGGCGCTGCTCCAATAACAAAGAACGGCCAAGGCGGAAATAAAAGATGGGAGAGAGCAGGGGCAGGCTGGGGAAACAAAACTTTCCTCCGCTCCCTCCTCGTCGTGCAGTCGCCGGCACCGCCCGGGAGCCCCGGGCACCGTCTGGCAGGCCTCGGCCCAGGGTCCGCTCCTCCCCCGCGCCCGGCTCCCCGGTCAGATCTCAGGAGTCGCGGCGAAGCCACGTCGCCAGCGCAGCGCCCACGCCCGACCGAGGGAGACGCCGGGCCGGCGCCTGGCCGGCAAATCCCTGGCATAAAGGGGCACCGTGGAAAAAAACACACAAAAAACCGACCCTACGCGAAATCGGCCGGCAAAAGGGAATACGCTTAATGTCCTCGGGGCCCTTTCTCCCCCCGAGGCAGCCGGGGCGGGTGGCTGCGTGCTGGCGGAATGGGGACAGCGCCCGCCTTTCTAAATGTATGAAGGGCCGCCAACATCGTCTGAGCTTCGGACTGCACTGGTTGCACGCGGGACCTCGGTTTTTGTGCTGGGCCCACGTTTAGCACAGACGGTTTAGAATCAGTACATACCATAGCTTGCTCGATTTTGTTGTCAATAGCTACCACACTTGCACCAGAGGAGCTGAAAGGGGGAAAGGAAAAAAGAAAAGGTCATTGATAAATGAAATTGATCTTAAACGCTCAGTCTACAAAACGATCTCCCGGTGTTGGGACGGCGCTAGCATCGCATTTCGAACCTTCCTTAGCACCGTGTACCGTATCACCCTCCAGGAAACACCAGCCACTCTCTTGCTAACGAATATCCAGGCATTTCCCCATGTTAGTGAGCCACAAAGGACTAAATTACATAATGTGGGGAAAGCCCGTGCTCTGGCCAGACCTGCAAAACTAAGGCTAGTCTGAACCTTTCCAAAAGCAACATCCGTGTCACCATAATCTCTCGGCAATGGACAAAGGAATTCTCCGGGCTGTCTTTCACCTGCATTACCACAAGCATCGCAAGCACGTTTAAAGAAGCTATCCCAGCCGACGTTTACCTATTGTCAAGTCTCACAGAAGCGTTTTCAGTCCCGAGCAAGGATGACAAGAAAGAAATCGAAAAATGTCTCAGCTGGTAAACTCCTAGATCCATCGCCACTGGTCTACACCATTGGGATTTCATGCAACTGCAGCCAAAAACACCCTCGTGGAAAAAAAGAGGGAAGACCCGCGGCCTTGTGTGAGCTAGCAAAGAAACCTCCCGGCGTCCTGGAGCCCGGGGACAGGGAACAGCAGCCCTAATTCAAAGCAGCCCGGCCTCCGGGGCTCGGCGATCCCGGGAAGATGCGGATCCCAGCGGCGCGCGGAGACGCTCCCAGCTCGGCCGCCCGGCTCCAGTCGGCTCGAGCCCAGGGCGGCGCGGCGCCGCGCAAATATAGGCAGGGAGGAGCCACGCCGATTGG